TCTTTCCCTCCCCCCTCGGTGTGCTCCCCTCGCCTCCTAGAGCGCCTCCAGCTTGAAGAAGGCCCGCTGCAGCTCCTCCCGTCGGATCTGAGTTCTCACTATGGGGGGCTGTTCAGACACCCTCTGTTCTCCACCCGTATCCCTGCTGTCCCACTGCCAAAGCCCGCCAACCCGGCCCCTCCCTCTGCCACCCCCTCTACCGTGGAGCCCAGGGCGAGCCTGGGGAGCAGACGCAACAGATTGCAGAACGCGAGAGCGCGGAGCCCGCTCGCTCCGCGCGCGGTCCGCCGCCTCAGCCTGCGCCCGCTGCCCAGACCCCCGCCCTCCAGGCTCGGCTAAGCCGGCCATTTAGATGCAGCTCACAGGACAGCGGGCGGGCGAGCCACCGCGGCTCCTAGGGTCCCTGTCGGTCCGCTTCCCTTCTCGGGGACCGCCGCAGGAAGCGAGGCAACGGGTGGCGTGGCCCCGCACCCGCCTGCGCGCTAGGGACGATCCCCGCGGACCCCATTAGCCCCCAGTCCCGCTGTCTGCAGCGAAGGGAGTGGCAGGAGGGGCGGCCCGGACACTGTCCCTCGGATCCTTATAGATTTCCGTGGGCGGACGCGCCCCCGGACACTAGGGTTTGGACCCTTCTTTCTAAGGAGTGATCCCTACTCCACCCCACCCGCCCTTTTCCTGGGCTGGGCTCGATCCCCAGGGCGGGGCTCGCATCCTCAGCTCCCGCCAAAGGGCTTGGAGGCTGGAGGTAACTCGAAATGCAGCCTGAGATATCAAGCTAGGAGCGGTGGCTTCGAGTCTGTGGGTGGGGGTTCGCTTTTCCCCAGTCTCCTCTGTGCCCCTCCAGCGGCGATCGCCGCATCTTCACACCGGAGTCCGCGCCGCGACACTTACCGTGGGCAAGCAGCGCCGAGAGGCAGAGCAGGGCGGCGCCGCCGCGGCCTGACATCCCTGGGGCCATGGCCGAGGCGGGAGCGGGTAGTGACTGAGGGGGCAACAGTCGACGACGGCTTGGCCCAGGCTTGGCTTGGTCACATCCAACTCAGGATGGCTGTGGCGTCCAGCTGTCTCTGCTGAGCCTCTGGGGGGCAGCGAGTGCAATTCGGGGACACTTTGGGGAGGGGGGCGTCCCAGGCGCCGCCAGCTACACCCTCGGAGCCGATGGGGGCGCAGCTCGCGGCAGGAGGAGCCTCCACCTCCCCGGCTGGTGCCCCCTGCAGGATCTGTGCGGCGAGGGGGGAGCAGCACGTGCGGTCCCGGGGCCCGATCGCCGCTGGCGTCTCGCGGGCTGCCTAGAGCCAAGTGCTGGATCCCCCAGCCCCGGCCCCAGCTCGAATCCGAACTCGCTCGAGGGTGCAGGTTTCCAACACAAGCCCCAATTTATTCGGTTTCGGTAGTAACCCCTCATGGATAGCGCGGCTTCTTTCCTCCAAGCGCCTTGCAGCAGCTCCAGCATAAAAATCCCAGGTTAGGTGCAAATGAATTTCTTTCGCAAAGAAAGAAAATCCAGGCAACTTTAATCCATCTGGAGAAGGAAAAGTTTCCATGCAGTGCTGAGACCGGCGATGCGGGTCGCTACCACCCTACGCGACGCCGGGACGGAATGCCCGAGGCGGGGGGCCAGCGGCTTGTCCCCTCGCGGAGCTCACTGAGCTCCAGCGCTCTCTCTCCAGTCTCGACCAGGGCCCAGGCTGCACACAGGCCGGCTCAGCTCCGCCTGCCGGGGCAGCAGCTCCGCGGCTGGGGAGAGGGTGGCGCGGCCGGAACGGGCTGCTCCATGGAGATGGGGCTTGGAAATTGAGGGAGTGGGAAAGCCCGCCAGTGGTCTGACCCCAGCCTTCCTGCCCTGGGAGCCGACTCCAGCCTTCCTGCTGTAGGCGTAGTAGGATGGAGAGGGGCTCGGTCAGCCCACGGCAGCTCCGGGCCGACCCCCTCTCCTCCCAGGTCTCGCTGCCTCAGCAGAGGGGCACACTGCTCAGCCTCGCTCCTTGCCTTTCCCGGGGTACCTACACAAACCTTGAACTTTTCCGGGGTTCAGAATCTCCGACGTCTCCTTCTCCCCACCGCCCCCGCCCTGCCCCCGGACGCCGGATCGCTCGCTATCACGGCGCAGCCGGGCATCGGCGCTCTCTCTCCGAGTCAGTTGGGGCGAGCGGAGCGCCGCGCCAGCCCAGGCTGCGGGCGGCAAGACCTGGGCTCCACGCCAGGGGCCAGGGAACCCGGCGCCCGCGCAGCCGGCGGCCAGGGAGGCGGCAGCTGATGCCTAAGGGGCCGAGCGGAGAGGAGGTGCCGGGAGGGGGCCCGGCTCCCCATGGACGTGTGTGGGGGGAGAAGAAGAATCAAGGAGCAAAAAGGAAGAGGAGGTGGGGGGAGCCACAGTTGCACGAAGCAGCCGCCGCCGCCTCGGCGCTCACGCCGGCTGCTCCGCCGTAAATGACTCGAGAGAGAGACACACACACTCGCGCTCGCCCGCCCTCCTCCCCCGTCCGGGATTCAGCGCCCACCCCAGCAGTAGCGGGCGCGGAGCCTGGCTCGCTCGCTTCCCCCTCCCAGATTCCCCGTGGTCACGTGGCCTCAGAGCGCGCAGCCCACGACTCGCGCGCCACGGAGACTCCCCCCACTCCCAGTTCCCCCTCCCCTGTCCACGTGTCCATTCCGCATTCCCAGCCTGGGGGCGCGCGCGGCTCCTTAATGAAGCTCAGGCAAGGGCCGACCTCGCGATTCCGCTCGCCCCTGTTTTATGTTTTATTCTTCCTCCTCAATGCAGGCTAGTTCTGGGGCCCGAGTGGGGCCAGCCGGCTGCGGCGGCTGCATTTCTCTAGGTAGACGCCACTGCAGCCACCGAAGTCCCCTCTAAAGGATGCACGCTCCCAGGCGGGCGCCGGAGGTGTTTTACAGCCGCTCTGCCAGAGGTGCGGGTAGGGGACGCCCTACCCCATCCCAGCGTCTGCGTGGGGCTTTCGGAGGCACTGGACAGGGATCAGTCGAGCTGTCGCACCCAGTCCTCTCCCGCGGCGCCGGAGCTCGCCGGCTCAGCTTCGTTTGGGTCCGGGGCGCAGCTAGGGGAAAATCCGTTCGCCGTTGGGGAAGGGGGTGGGAGGAAAGGAGGGGACGTGCCTTCCTACAGGTTGTTTTGCAAGCCTTTATAGGAGAATGGGGTGGGAGTGGAGAACTGCCCCTCTTGCACACTCACCCAGGGGTGGTGGGGTGACGTTCTTTCCCACCGTCAGGCCCGTTCGTTCCATTAGAGCGCAACCGAGATCAGACCCGACAAGTCAACTGTCAACCCTCAGCCAGGCATCGGATAAATGGTAATGATTTCATAACATCAGGCCATAACCCCCAAGGGCCGGGTCTCCATCCCATTCTACGCTGGAGTGTCAGGCTATGGACACAGCTTTTATGGGAGGGAGCTGTAGATCTTGAGGGTCACCCCCCATACCTCTGCACTCTACCAGACTGAGTGTGGGGCGAGGTAGGTCAGAGCAAGGCCAGCTGGGGTGTTCAGTTTCCATCCCCCATCTGCCTGACTGGGTCCTAGACTTCTTGACCCTGTGAGTTTCTTGTTCATCCAGGAAAGTGACATTTTCTTTTTGGAAAATGGGCTTGAATCCTTCCTGGAAGCCTCCCTCCTCCCTGGCTTCGACTGTTGCTGTCTCTGCTTGGTATTGGAGCCTGCGGAGAGCGGCTTTCACCCCTCCCCCAATGTTACATCTGCTTGGAGCTCTGAGGTGCAAGGTGGGGAGGGCTGGCCGGCTCTTGGAGGCCCTAGGAATAGAAGGTGCAGGAGTAGTCAGGAAGATGATTCTCATTAGGCTCCTAATGCCTGATGGCAATTAATGTCACCTTAGGGCTTATTAATCATCCCAGTGAGAGACAAGCTAGCAGACAGACTGTATGTGGGAGAAGACCTCTCCTGACACTGGAGGGCTCCTGGAAGACGAAGAAGGAAACAGTGAGGTCTCCCACCCCTGCCCAAACCCCAAATGGAAGGGGTGCAGGGCCTGTAAAGAGTAAGCCCAGAGGAGAGACACAAGTTCCCTTTTCTGAGCTGAAGACTCACTGCTCCAGTGAGGGGGACCGAGCTCTCCTTCTTCCCAGATGTTGGTAGCTGACATGGGTCAGCAATTTCAGTTCACTCTTGAGGCCCTTTCTGGAAACTGAGCACAGGGTTCTGGTTCTTCTCTCTACCTGCCCCCATCCACCACTCCCCAGATCTTAGGTGATAGGAAAATGAGCCTCCCTTTGCCCACTCAGTTTTCCCTCCTCCCGCTGTCCCTCGTCTCCACTTCCTTTTCACAACAATGTGGTGAATATATCCAACATCACAGGCACTGCTCACAGCAGTGATAAAGACAGACCTAGCCTGTCCTCATGGAACTTACATTCCAAAGGGAAGAAACACTAAGCTTATAATTGATTACAGTGGTAGTAAATTGTGTACCATCATGCATTTTTGCTCATCTCATGGAGGAGCCTGAGGCCCAGGGTCAGGAAGAATTGGAGGTGGGAGCAGCCTGCTATCTTTAGAAAATATAAGGTCAGCCCCAGGTTCCCTTATGCGGATATACCCTTCATGGATCCGGAGGCTTTTACTGGGTCAGCGTGTCTGATCATCTTCTGATCCTCCAAATGGTAGACGTCCCTCCCTGCCCCAGAGAAGTGAAGGGCTGCTAATGCCCTCCTCCCCAGAATCAAATGCTCAGATTACTCCAACTCCAGTGCCCAATGGACCTGTTACTCTTGGCAGTGTCGGTTCTAGGGCTCAGGAAGGAAGCAGCTGGCATGAGGAAGACACAGCCAGCTGCCCCAACTATTTTATTCTCACATGTCATTGACCTGGAAAGGGGCTCATACCTTCCCTTGGGCCTTTCCTAACGCCCACAGACTGCGCCGACTGTACCTGTGAGGCCTAGTCATAGATCCCAATCGGTAATGCCAGCTGGAACCTGGGTAGGAGGTCAGAATCAGAGGAGCAACCCCGGGCTGGAGAGAGTACCTGGCATGTGTGTACTCTTCTGCCCCAAATAAGCACCTTATTCAGTAAGCTGGTGGCATCTCCTTTCTGCCCTTTCCCTTTTGTTCAGGGCCAGGAGTCTTTTCTAGCTAGAGTACTGGCAATGGTTGCAGGTTTTCTTGACCCCCAGCTCCTTGATGGTGCCTGGAACAGCCCTAGGCTCCTACCACGCAGCCGGACAGCAAATTGGGCTCTGTGTCAGGCCCCTGTGTCATGCATGGGTGCATATCGAGGACCCATGCCGAAACTCACACCCACTTCCTCTTCTGCCTAACCTGACACCATGGTGGACCTGGTGACATTTGCTCTGTCACCATGCACCTATTTTTTAGGATGCCTGCCAACATGAGAAGATAGGACAGTCCACTGTGGGGCTTCACTAAAGGGAGGTCACCATTTGGGGGGAGCACCTGGGATCCTCCTGAAATTCTACTCTGGAGGGGGGCTCAGAGATTTTCTAAGCCCGCCTTTTTATTTCACAGCTGTAAAAACTGAGGCCTGTTTATTTGGTCATTTTATTTAATACTTTGACTTTTTTTTTTTTTTTAAATCAAACTCTACAGGCGAAGCATTGTGCTAGCTACTAGAATAAATATATCCCCCACTCTTTGAAAGTTCACTTTATGTCACTTCGCTTTTAGGAAAGAACTACGTTAGTACCTGTTTTTGCTAACTGAAAGATATCCAAAGAAGATTTTCGCTTTTATGGAAAAAGGCGGAAAAACAAAAATAGCATTCAGCATTTCTTTAGCAGCGAGCCAGTTATAGAGGCAGCATGCACCCTGAGTAGTGAGCGTGGCACTGCCAAGCTCCTTCCCCGGGACTAACACTCAGCATTTCAGCGTCAAGCCAACATACCTTTGAACTGTGTCTGTGAGCATCTGTGCTTTATCTCGATTTATTTTGTGCATCTGCTAGCAAGATGTGTCCTACAGTAATTGCTTCTCTGCTTTACGCCATTTCTCTTACAAAAGGTTTCATAGGAACGATCTACTTTGGGATAGTGGGGAAAATCTGTACATAGGTTGAATAAGACAGACAAGACTCGGATGGGGAAATTCAAGAACTTAGCTCCACAAACCCGTACTGAGCACGTAGTCATATTAATAGCCAACTGAGTGCTTTTTATATGCCAAACACTGTGCTGGGCATTTCGCATGCATTATCTGGATCCTTACTACAACCTTGTTAAGTAGATACTATTATTGTTGCCATTTTCCAGATGAGAAAACTGAGATTCAGAGAAAGTAAGTTTCTTGACTAGGGTCACATTGCTAGAAAGTAGCAGAGTCGTACCTCAGGTGTGTAACCCACCTAACCATTTTTACTATGAGGTGTAAGTTCCCAGGGTTATGTAGATGAGAAAGCTACCATGGCCATGACTGGAGAAGCTCGTGGTCAGTGGGGGCCCCAGGCATAAACAGGCCACTCAGTGCAGGGAATACAATGCTGTGGTGGCAGTGCAGGGGCTCCGGGGGCACAGGAACCTCTGACGAGAGGGTAGTAGTCTCTCTGCACACTATATAGAGCGTCTTCACCTCTCACCTTCTCTTCTTCAGCACCCAAACTTAACTTACACCTATGTGCTGTTAGATAGACACAGTTATGCACACATATAGCTAGTACAATAAACCAGCCTCTACCCTGACGCTGGACCACTTTGCTGGATCACTTTGCCGCCCCCTGCAGGCTGATCTTCCAGCTCAGATTCCAGGAACAATACTGATCTTCAAGCCAGGAGAATGCAGCTAATGGCAGGTGCCCAAGGCCTGCCTCTCCAAGCCTCGATTTCTTCATCTGTCAAATGAAGATAATCACATCAATCCCCAAGTCACTTTTAAAATCCCAGTTAATGTACACTGATTGCTCAATGGTACTGGGCACAAATGCGTGCTCCGTAATGTCGACTTGTTACTATTCTTGAAACCAAACTGCTCATTATAATCTACTAGGTTCTAGATGATTTGACCCCTAGTTGTTTTTCTAAACTCATATTTTTATCACTCTCCTTCTATTTTACTATACTGGAGCCACGAAGGTCTCCCTGCAGGAATATGCCAAGCACGTTACTGCCTCAGGGCCTTGTACTTGCTGTTCCCTCCTCTGGCATGCTTTCTCCCTAGATCTTGTGCCTTGCTCCTTTACTTTATTCTGGTAACTACTCAACTACTGCCTTCTTGAGACATCTTCCCCGACCACCTGATTTTAAGTAATACAACTATCACTCTGCTCCATTGCTCTATTCCCTTACCCTACTTTAATTTGATTCATAGCAATTGACATTTAACTTTATCATTTGTCTGTTGAATCTGTTCTCTTGATAGAATGTAAGCTCCCCAAGACCAAGATTCCTTCATAGGAACTGTTCACCCGTGCATTCCCAGAACGATTCCTGGCGTATGTACTCAACAAAATAGACTGATGCAGGATCATTTATTCATAATCATTTATTTTGGTAATTGAGCCGTTGATTTTACCCAGTCCTTATAATCAGGTCTTGGGTCTGAGTTTACATAAGAGACTTGCCTGGCACCTCATTCCCCTGACCTTCCAGAGCCTGGGAGGCCACTGTCTAGGTCACCTTCGTTTCTGATGTTCCTCTTAATTGTCCCAACTCTAATTGTGCCCTGTTCCCAGTTTTTCCAGCTGCTATGCCAACCTCGCCCTGACTGGTGCAACTTGGACTGGGACCTGAGAGCCTGCAGGACGGAGCCATCAGCATCACCTACTATTCCCCAATGTGAATCCTCTGCCCAGCCAGGGCAGGCTTGCCACCACCATTCTCAGTGATATTCCTCCTCATGCTCGGCTTATTCCTCTCTCCACATCTTTGCTCGTGCTGTACACCCTGCTTCAGTAGTGCTCTTCTCCACTCACCACCATTCTCAGTGATATTCCTCCTCATGCTTGGCTTATTCCTCTCTCCACTCTTTGCTCATGCTGTACACCCTGCTTCAGTAGTGCTCTTCTCCACCAATTAAAATCCTGCCCATCTTAACTTTTCAACTCGGGAACCTTCTCTATGAAGTCTTCCCAGACTCCGTGTGATATGATTACATGGTCTCGTGATAAAAAGGAAGTAACAGAGGCTATGGAATCAGTTACTGGGATCAATCCTGATCACAGTAACCGTCTTCTCAATTTCTCTCTGCATCTGGTTCTCCCAGGCATCACTGCACAGCAAATCCTCCTCCTGGGAGAAGATCGTGTTCTCAGTTAAGATTGTAGATTAGAATTACCTGCTTCCTATTTTATAGATAAGACATCTAAAGCCCAGAGAGAGCCAGTGACTGCCCTAAGGTCACATAGCCATTTACTGACAGATAGAAAATATAACTCCATGAAAGGATGGGCCCAGCCCCTGCCCTACAGTGTGCACATCCCCAAAGTTTCATTGCTTGGCTCGGTCCTGCTATGGACTTGGGAATCCATCTTCTCTTTGATGGAGGGAATGAGGATGAGACTCCCTAGGTCATCATTTCGAGCTGGGCTGGCTCACCAGTCTTTTCCTCCCTACCCCCATACTGCTTAGCCTGACTCGGTGTGGCTGCTGGTTTAGCTCAGACCTTGGACTCCAGTTTTAATAATTTTATTTATATACTCTCATTCTATCTCACTTTGGAGATTCTTTTCTTCTCTGAAGCCTTCCCTGACACTGTCCATACCCCATCCTTACTTTCCGCACCCCTCAGGCCCTGTTTCCTGCATGTAAGCATGTATAGGACTGTGTTGATTTATCTGTCTCCTTCTACAGAGGGGAGACCCAGGAAGGCAAACAATGTGTCTGTGTTGTCTCAATTTCATGCCCTTTACCTGACATCTTTTGGCTGCTCAGTTAATGGTTAGTGAATAAACGAATTATTAATCACCTACTACGTGTCTGGAGCTATGCTAGCTGAATAAATGGTCTCTGCCCTCAAGGAGCTCACCATTGTATGGAAGAGGTGAGTGGGTAGACATGGGATTAGGACTAAGGGTGGCTGTGAGTGCTGCCCCAAAAACGAAAGCACAGGGGCTGTGGGAGTGGGTTAATGAGCATCTTGTTCAGTCTAGGTCATGGGTGTTGCAGGAAAAGTAAGGGCTTCCTGGAGGAGATGAGCAGTGAGGAAAGATAGTTGGTGTGGGCAGAGGAAGTGGGGAGAGGAGAGAAGAGAGGAGGCTGTTGTAGGAAGAGGGCTTGGAGCCAGGTGTGGGGGATACAGTGTGATCAGTAAATGGGATGGCTGGAGCATTGAGAGCTAGTATGGGCTGGGAAGCGAGGATGGAGAGGCAAGCAGGCATCCCCTGCACACAAAGGTATATGCCTGTATGGCATGCATTCCTAGGGTTATTATATTCAGTTACACACAGCTTCACACATACATGGTCAGAGACACTGACATGCGTATAAAACATCGGT